AATGCTAGGGCAGTGGCCTACATCAACCATCGGAGGGTATCAAGAGAGAACAAGACTTTCTTCAAACCTGCTTGACTACTGAGTAGAGAACCACTGTCCAGCAGTCTATGATGCTCACATTCCTGGTGTGGACAACTGGCAGGTAGATTTTCTCAGCCATCACTGCCTGGACCAGCAGGAGTTGTCTCTTCATCCTGACAACTTCAATCTCTTATGTCAGAAATGGGAGCTCGATTTCTGCTTTCAGAAATATACGTGGAAGTTTTACTTAGTTTTCATGCATGAAGAAGGATCTGGCAGATCACAAGCTTAATAATGGCATGCAATGCCAAGCTGTGGTTTCTAAAGCGAGCAAAATCCTCTCTTATATTAAAAGAGGTATAGACTCCAGAGAGAGATATCATATTACCCCGGTACAAATCATTAGTAAGACCTCATCTGGAATATGCAGTTCAGTTTTGGGCACCAATTCACAAAAAGAACATTGGGGAACTGGAGAAAGTACAGAGAAGGGCAACCAAACTGATAAGAGGCATGGAGGAGCTCAGCTATGAGGAAAGATTAGAGGAACTGAATGTATTCTCAGATTATACATCAGTGGTTCATATAGTGAACTGGAGGAAAAGAAATGTATTCTCCAAATACAGAAACATTTCTTCACAGTAAGAGCTGTGAAAATGTGGAATAGACTCCCTCAAGAGTTTGTTCTGGCCAGCTCAGCGGATTGCTTTTAAAAAGGCCTGGATTCTTTCCTAGATGCAGATAACTAGTTACTAACATTTATAAAGTTGATCCAGGGAATATCCGATTGCCTCTCAGGGGATCAAGAAGGATTTTTTGCAGTCTTTTTTTGCCTCTGGATCAACTGAGTATAGGATTCACTTTTTTTCTCTAATGGTTGAACTGGATGGACTTTTGTCTTTTTTCAGCCAGACTATGTAAGTGACAAAAAATATATAAAGGAATGCGCTAAATACCAATCACATGAAAATGCAGATAAATACATAAATAAAAAATATATTTATAAATATCTGTAATTCATATATAAGTCCAAACACCAAAATAGGGGATTAAAAAAATCTCTTAAACAAGAAAAAACACTGTGTAGCAAAATCCACCACCAAATGAAATGGGTAAACTCACCAGAGCTATTTGCTGATCAAATTATAAATCAGCAAAAATAGCAATTGCTCTGGGAGCGATGATCTGTTGGAGTATCCAGGAGCAATAGACTGCAATCAGCCAAATCAGCACACATGGAACAGCTTTAACTGCAAATGGTCATCATGCCTTCATAACTTTGGAAATGCTCAGGGAATCAAAAGAAGAGTATCACGGTGCAGTATATTAAAACAAGGATAATTTTTATTGTAGCCTAAAATATGCACTCGCAAGAAAGGTGTCCAACCGACACCAGCAATATCAGTCTCAAAAAGCTAAAGCAGGGACGAGCCTCGCTCACCGCGATCACAGCCGACAGCCTCGAGGAGCGTCCTGACGTCCCATCTCTTAAACAAGGGGCCGCCCCTTGAAGACGTCGGATGACGAAACACGTAGGGCAGGGCTTAGTGGATAGGACGCTCCTCGAGACTGTCGGCTATGATCGCGGTGAGCGAGGCTCATCCCTGCATTTTCATGTGATTTGGTATTTAGCGCATTCCTTTATATATATTTTTTGTCACCTTTTCTTTGGTTAGGTTTGCAGCTTTATATATATAATTTATTGGTGCTGTGTCTATATATTTTAGACTAACTTTGTAACTATGCATAAAATTGTGAATTTTACCATGTAAGCAAAAATCTGCTTTGGTAGTGAAAAGGTTAACTACTTCTTCAAAATACTGTAGCATTTAAAACAAGCTCACCCCCTAAATATGGATGTTACATGATACTTGAGATCAAACAACAAAAATAACTGCTGCAAAAGTGACTGCAGAGCTCAATCTCAGTCCAGTGCAGACAGAGATTGAGCACTGCAGTCACTTTTGCAGCTGTTATTTTCTTATTCTGGGTCACAATCCTGCACAATTTCCTTTTGTCTTTTTGGTTAGTTGACCATGTCACCCGCGCTTATGTTGATCAGACGTTTTCCCGGAAACTGTATATGCAGTTATATCCTTTCATATTGTACCTCATAACACGGCAAATAGGCAATTTCAGCCACAGAAGCATCAGCTAAGCGGGCACCAACAATTTGCCCTCTTTGAAGCTCAGTAAGCTTTGACATGACTCCATATTAGCAGCACACCCAGTGAATGACGAGTGAGGCTTCCCACCTATAATCTAGGTATCTTGTCAGACAGCAGAAGTGATAACATTCTTTTGCTTCTGCTGTCTAAGCGAAAAAGGTTTTCACTTTCACACCTGCAAATCATGTAGTGTTTCCATTTTTTTTGTCTAGCCCCTGTATGTCTTAGTCAGAATTGGGAATCTAAGCTGAAAGTTGTACTTCAGTCTCATGGTTTTATCATAGTTATATTTGTATTGACCAATTGAGCAGAGGACATTAAATATTTACATCAGAAAAGTGCTGGTTTCCGCTACGCTGCTTCCCTGATCAGGTTGGACAGTGCACACTCAACTACAACACAACTGCACAGAATGTCCCCCGACATGCCTCTTTGGGACTTCAACTCTCATAATTCCAAGCACTGTGCTTGTACACACTGTCCAGCCCTCCCTGATTGCCTGTGCATGGTGGCACAGGCAGCGTCATAATGTGAACTTGTAGGCTTTCTGCCTGGAGCATGCGCAAAAGGATGGCTCCATGGGATCATGCAAGGCAACAGAGCTACCCAAGAATAGGAAACCTGGGGCATGCAGAAATGCAAACAGGCATTATGCGAATTGTTCATATTGGGGCAGTACAATGTACGATCTGTTGCCTTTACAATTACTTGAAGAGCCATGTAAGCTTTTAAAGCAGAGGAAGCAGCGTACAAGTGCTGAGTGTATATATTTTAATTTACATTAAAAACACCAGTGTTCAATAATCCTTTAATTTAGGTTGACTGATGTCCTTTCAGTTTTTAGTGTTTTTTTATATGACTAACTTTTCTCATTCATAACCACTCCTCCTGAAAAGGAGGTGGAGTGCCATAAAAATGCCACTTGAAGGTGTATTCCGCTGGTCATGTTACACCGTAAAGTACTGCGGCTCTTTGGTGATCAGATGGAAGCCACTTTCCTGACATGCGTTCTGCTGCAGACCAGAGAGGAGGGGTGAGAGTGCAGCACTGGGGACCTAGCCTCACTTGATGTAAAACCATTTTTGTGATATGTCTGTTGGGAGGTAGTAGCCCTTTCCATTCACACACACACCTTTTCAGCAGAACACATTTAAAGCCTAACTCCATCTTCCCTTTCACTTTAAATAGTTCATTTGCACCAAGGTAGCCCAAACGAGCTACTTCCTTTACTAACTGTAGAGTCAACTACATACAGTATGCTGCGCTGTGTTCCGGCAGCAGTACAGGGGCCTCCTATCTGCCGAAACAAAATCAAATCAATTATTGATGCTGATGCTACACACACTTTATACTACACGGACAGCGGCTGCAGCAATTAGTAAAGGAAAGGTTTAGTGTGGGCTGGCTTGGCCAAGCAAACTGTTTGAAACCGAACTCCATCTTTCCTTTCACTTTAAAGTTGTATTAAACCCAATTAAGGAAATGTTTACTAAATTGCAGCTTACCACTTCTTAGATATGATGGTTGCATTAGTTTTCTTTTTTTACGTTTTATTTTCACCTAGGGGTGCATGCCATCAAGTCTGTTGTTTTTCAGTATACCAAATGGTCCTGCATATAGTATGTAGCAGTTAGAGAACTGAACCAAAACATTCAACACTAGGGGGGGGACTTACAATGATCAGCTTTTATGTATTTATGTAAAACCTTTATCCCAAAAGGAAAAAAGTTTGTAGTAACTGGTTAAAAAAGTGTGAGCTGGAGTTCAGCTTCAATTTGTTATTGTATCGAAGTCTTCTAGTGCATCTAAAACTCCCCTCCCCCACAAGATTAACAATGTGCTGCTGTTCAAAGGTGTCTCTATTGCCCATTCATCCAGAATGCTACTACAGGAGGTGTGTTACTGGCCAGATCACCAGGTAAAAACAATGACTGGTAAGCTGCAATATATTAATTTTTGGTTTTGGGTTTTATAGTACTTTAAAGTGGAACTAAAGGCAAACTTTATAACATTGTGGACAGCACAAGGAAGGGTTATAACCCCATCAGGGTTTTTTCCCATCTGGGTCCCATTGGGGAGATTTCCCTTAATTTTCTGTCCCATAGGCAAAACAGGAAGTGAGAGAAAATCCCTCCAAAAAGGGACAGAACCCAGGGGTGTCCCCATTGGATGATTACCTCTCTATGACTGTTCTGGTGTCACCCCAAAATGTGGTATATTCTTTTTCTTTCCCTTTCAATGATAATGGTAAAGAGGACTCCTATAGAGGGTGAATCTCCCTAATGGGGCACAGACTGCAATAAAAACCTGACTGGTTCAAATTCCTCTCCACCCTACCCACAAGAAGAAAGAAAAGTTTTGCCTTTAGTTACAATTTAAAGTTTCCCAGCAATAGCCCAAGGTGTTTGTGTTTATACAGTATATCCCGCTTACTTACCTTGAGCCATTTGCTCCTTGAATGTCGATCTTTATCTCTTCTGGGAATGTCTAATTGCTGGCTGTGCTGTTCCAGCTCCTCCTTTCATAACCTTTTATACAGCGATCATGGAAAGAGAGAAGGGAAATCCTATACTATGGAGTGTCACTTGAATGACAGCTCTGGGGCTGCTGATATAACATCCAAGATGGTGGCACTCAGCGGCAGTCTCAGGGCGTTTGGATGTCCATACAAGGGGGTCTTTTACATGTAAATACCATGAATAAAATATGTTAAATGAATAATTTTAACAGAAGATTGTTGTTGAAATTATTGGTCTGGTGACAAGGTCTCTTTAAACAAACACAGATTTTTTTTTTAACCAGCATTTCACTTTACTTTTGAATACTAGCATCTGTTTGAATTGTATGTGCTGTTGTACATTTCCTCCAGGCCTGCAATGGTTTACTGACCTTATCGTAGCCTTCCAGCTCTCTGAGCATTTTTATTTCAAAAAGGTTTCCCTCCACAGCCAGCAGGGAGATCTGGGAATCACTGAGGATGCTGTGGGGTAACATACTGAGCTCCAAACAGTTCTCTTCTAGACGCAAAACCTTGAGACGTGGACACCGAGAAACTTGAGTTGAGATCTGAGAGATCTGTGTGAGAAGAATGTAAATGTAAAGTTATCACAGTTACTATACTTTGACTTGTGTGCAGCCCTAGCAGCTCAATTTGGAAATGGCATTTAATAACTGAAAAAAAAAAAAAAAAAAAAAAAAAAAAAAAAAAAAGTGACTGTACTTTGGCTAAGAGGAGTTCTCCATCTACCATTTGCCAAAATGTTTCAGCCTAAATGAAAAAAAGCAACGATACAGGTGCCGAAAAAACCCCGCCATCACCGCCCTGGTAGTTCTCAGCCTTACCCGAGAAACTATCGATCCCGGAGCTAGGCATAGTGAAGGAAAGATGGCTGCCATTCATCTCTATGCCCTTGGAGGACCGGAGCGATGTCACTTCATGTTCCAGCCATTTTTTTTTTTTTTTTTAAAGCACTAGATCAATGCTTTTTTTATTTTATCTAACGCTTTACATTGTAGAGGTGAGATGTAGGTTCTTATTGACCCCATATCTCTCTATAAAGAGGACCTGTCTCTAACTATTTCTATCACAAGGGATGCATGCATTCTTTGTGATAGGAATAAATGTGATTACATTTTTTTTTTAAAGGGACCGTGCAAAAAGAAAAAAAAAAAAAAATTTTTAAAGTGCTCCTGTCCTCTTGTGGTGAACGCGTACGTAGGCCATGCCCACATATGTAAACAGTGTTCAAGCCACACACGTGAGGTATCGCCATGAACATCAGAGCAAGAGCAATAATTCCCGCACTAGACCTCCTCTGTAACTTTACACTGATAACCTGTAGACATTTTTAAAGCACCAGACATGGAGATTTTTAAGGACCGCAGTTTCACACCATTTCACGAGCGTGCGCAATTTTAAAGCGTGACATGTTGGGTATCTATTTACTCGCCGTAACAGCCTCTTTCATATTTTACAAAAAAATTGGGGTATGTAGTTTTTTTTAATCAGTGTATTTATTTCCAAAAAATATATATTCATTTTTAAAAAGTACGCATTTCGGTTTTCGGCCAAGTGCATTTTGAATTTTCGATTTTGGCACCAGAATTTTCATTTCGGTGCACCACTACTGGTCACTTTTTAACAGTGGAATGTGTGTGATCAGTGGAAGAGCAAGCTGGGCTTATCAAATTCTGAATTTTGGTCCACATCCTCAACTGGCCCCATCTATGGGAGGAAGAGGGAGGTGTGATTAAAGTACAATTGTCAGTACCACAGAAGTACCAGGAGGCTCATCAATGAAGACACTAAATGGTGCCTACACATACCACAAGATGCATTCTTCTTGCAGCCTGTGGTCACAAATCCCAGGCTTCTGCAGGACATGGAAGGAATGGGAACCATCAGAGAGCTCCCTTCTACTATAGCGCTTATATTTTCAAGGGACAACAATCATTAACTGAATGTAGAAGTACCATCTCTGACTGAGATCTGGTATTGTGGTTCTCGATAAAACATAATATTTGACATTTGGGTCTATGAGTCTGCTAAATAATGGAAATAACAGCAAACATGTCCTGCTACTTTATACAAGGAACATGGGAGGTGGGAAACTGTCCAAATGAATTTCCTAGGCAGCACAGTGGGGCTGATTTACTGAACTGGAGAGTGCAAAATCTGGTGCAGCTCTGTATAGAAATCAATTGGCGTTGAAGCTTTTTATGTCAAAGCTTAATTGAACAAGCGGCAGTTAGAAGCTGACTGGCTACCATGCACAACTGTACCAGATTTTGCTCTCTCCAGTTTTAGTAAAGTGGTTAGCATTTCAGCCTTGCAGCATTGGGGTCCTAGGTTAGAACCCCAGCATGGAGTTTGCACATTCTCCTTGTGCTGCAGTGTGTCTAAAATTGGCCCTAATAAGTGTAAATTTGTGGGCAAGGCAGGGACCTTATATTGTAAACTCCCCAAGGACAGGGACTGGTGAATGTACAATATTGCAGTGTTGCATAAATTGTCAGTGCTATATAAATACCTATGATAAACAGAATACATTGTAAGGTGTAATTCCATATTCCTTTACTATGACTGAAGCACTATTACTAGAGGGCCAGATTACACTCACGTTTTCTCGGATTAAAAAAAACCTATATTAAATTTATATCTTTCCGTGGTAAAAAAATAATTTGCATGGATCGGATTCATATGTCTTAGCATTACTGACCTGGTTTTGGTTCAAGTTTATCTCTATGGCCTGCACTCCAGACACCTCATCAGGAATTGATTGGATTTTATTTTTGGACAGGTCCACCACGTCCAGATGCCGCAGACTGCAGAGCTGGGCTGGCATAGCACGAAGTTGGTTGCCAGAGAGGTTGAGGGTCTTCAAGGTAGACAGCTGACCAAAGTCTGCTGGTAGGCGGTTGATCTGGTTAGCACTTAAATGCAAAGTCTCCAGTTTTTTCAGTCGACACAGTTCATCTGGGAGCTTGCCTGAGAAAACAAGGTATTACAAAAACGTTGTATAATCTACAATACATCAGCCAGACCAGAATCAGGATTTCCATATTTCTTTTATTAAGTTCAATTTTCTGGAAAAAAAATAGCAGAGGGTGATATTAACGGTGACCAGATTCAAGTAGTCAATTTATATTACAGCTCAAAGGAGTCCTAACCTCCTGAAAATACCAGTTGCCTGGCTGTCTCTGCCTTCAATCCTTGAATTCACTTATCTGGAGCTAACAGTCAGATTAAAAAATGTATTAAAGTAAAACTCTAGCATAACACTAACTAGTCCTAAAATGTTCCCTTCCCCCTCCTGTTACCTATACTCATTAACCTGTGCTTAAAAAAAGAAAAAAAAAAAAAAAGGTGTATAAACACTTATGGTCCAGTCGATTGTTACTGCGACTTTGGATGAGTGTGATTTTGGCTTTGACCAATAATTGTTTCTGCTGTACAAAGTCGCACACAAGTCGCATGTACAACATTCAGGTGCAACTTTCATGCGACTTTGGAGGGTTTACATTAAAGTCTATGGACCTCAAGTCGCATGAAAGTGAAGCCAAAGTAGTGCAGGAACTACTTTGATGTTGCTGCGACTTGAAGTTGCACAGATATGAATGGTACCCATTGGGAAACATGGGGGCAACTTGTCATGCGACTTTGAACCCCAAAGTCGCATGACAAGTCGCACAATTGTGAATGGGTTCTTAAAGACCAGGATTTTTCTGGCACTTTTTGCTCATGTGTAACAATTAGGGTTTGTTTTTTGTTTGTTTTTTTGCTACAAAATGATTTAGAACCTCCAAACATATTTTTTAAAGCAGAGGACCTAGAGGATAAATTGGTGGGTTTTGCAATTTTTTAAGTCACAGTATTTATGCAGCGATTTTTCAAATGCAATTTTTTGGGAAAAAATATATATATATTTTTTTTAATTTTAATGAAAAAAACCCAAAACATAACCTAATTTTTTTTTAAATATAAAAAGATGATGTTACGCTAAGTAAATAGATACCAAACATGGCATGCTTTAAAAAACTGCGCCCACCTGTGCAACGGCAACACTTTAAAAACCTTTACAGGTTGCCACTTTAGATTTACAGAGGAGGTCTGGTGATGGAATTACTGCCAATGATCCGATGTTCGCGGTGATACCTCACATGTGGGATTATCGCTGTTTGCGTTTGTGTGGAACCGGCGCATATGTTTGTCTTTATGTAAGTAAGGGGGGATGGGAAATTTAATTTTTTTTTTTTTTTTTTTTTTTTTTTTTTTAACATGGTTACTTCAAAAAAAAAAAAAAAAAAAAAAACCCAAAACAAATATATTTCACTTTCATTGCTGTCACAAAAAATGTAAACGTCCCTTGTGACAGCAATAGGCCTTGACAGGTCCATGAGAACCCGAATCCCTCCTCTACTCCTAAAGCATTCAATCACACCAGGATCTGTGTGACTGAATGCTTTTACTTTTTAAAATGGCACCGACTGTTTCCGAGTAACCCAGAAGTGATATCAGGTTATCGCTTCAGTTTACTATTTAAACGGAGCTGTACAAAGCCGATCCGGTCTTTGCGTAACCAGCCGGTAGCAGCGCCGTGTGGTCAGTTGGGACTCCTGGTGAGACGGGAGATCCTGTGACAGCGGCTGGAGGGGGTGATGTCCCCTCTGCTTGTAATAGCAATCAGAGCGGTTAACTAGCCGCTCAATTGCCATTACAAGAAAGCCAACCGTCAGCTGTGAATAATGGTACTGAGATGATGCCTGCAGCTGCAGGCATCATCCTGGTACAACCACTTGAAAACCGGTGACGTATCAGGTACATGAATGGTTGCCAAGTGGATAATTACCTATTTTTTCCCCCACTCGTGTCAGGGTCACATGATCCCTTATGTTGGCGAGCAGTGGCTGCAGGGGAGAGGAGTGTTAAACAATGGCTGGGAATTTCGGAAGGTGTGACCTCACTCATACACTCCCAAGTCTAGCCATTGTCAGTGCTCCCTCCTCCCCTCCTGTGACTGCACCTGAACAGGCAAAAAAATTGGTAAGTAAACACATCTTTTTTACATAGGTTAGGCAGGATAAGTAGCAGGAGAGGGAAGAAAACGTTTAAGCATAGTTAGTGTCAGGCTGGAATTCTACTTTAAGGCTGCTGTTACACTGATCCATTTTTCATTTGCTTTTGTGTTTAAAAAAAGCAGAAGAAAAACGTGTGAATATGTATTCCTATGGAACTCTTCATGCTAATCCATTGTAGGTCCGGTGTGTTTTTTTCTAAATCCTGCTTGCTGCATTTTTGGTGCGGTAAAAAAAAAAAAAAAAAAAAAAAAAAAAAAAAAAAAACCCACACCTCCTATTAAAATCAATATAAACTGAACAAAAAAAAAATGCACCCCCATTGCATTTTTGGTGTCACATCTCCTGTAAAAAAAAAAAAAAAGAAGTGGAAAAAAAGCATATGCTTTTTTTCCCGCAGATCAGCGTGAAAGTAGCCCAACTCAGCTCCTGATTGCCATACTTGCTCCATGTCAGTGCTTCACAGAGTGCAGACGTCAGGTTCAGCAGAACCATCAGACAACTAGCATTGTCTGCTGAAGGGTACATTGCAAAGGCAGCCTCCAAATTCTTTTAAAGAGGAACTGAACTCCAGAAGCTGTAACACAAAAAGACAGGTAAAGGACTATTCACCACTATTACCTTTTGTCTCCTTGCCACAGATCTTTTCCCCATTATCATGCCTTGTTCTGCACTGTGTGTCTTTGTGTGGAAGTGGCTACCTTGGCAGAAGCAGGTAAAAGCTCCCTCATGTCAAAGCCTCCAACAAGTACAGTAGTGATATCACCAAATCTCCTGACAATAGTAGTCAGAGGCAGCAGTGCCTTAAATGTCACACTGCAGATATACTGTACAGCTTTGATCACAGGAGTACCTAGGCACACTCACATCCCAAAAAGGGCTTCTATCCAAAACCAAAAAGAAAGTTTTGGTCATATGTATACTTCAACATTTCTAGATATTTTCCTCTAACATAACAAATCCTCAGTTTGTGAGTTCAGGTCCATGTTAAAGTCACAGGTAACATTTGCTTGACTGATTTAGGAAAGACATGGCTTCATTTGCGTTCTTGTTGATTCATCAAAGAAGGATTTCATTCCCCATTGCAGTATTAGGGAATAAAAGAAATAACTGGATTGGCTACTCCAGTCAGTCAGTGAAAATTTATGACCAATGTATTTTGTTTAACTACTTGCTGACTGCCCACAGTAATTTTTACTGCAGGCGGGGGCCACATACAGGCATAATCATGTACATCACTGTGCCTGCTTGGTCTTAGGACGATGCTGTGCGTCCCACTGGACACAGCAGATTGTGGCTCACAGGACCAGGCCACTAAAAGCAGCCCAAGGATCATGTGATCCCTGTGCAATCACAGGATCAAAATGTCAACAAAGCAGTTATGAATGAACCTGGGCCAATCACAGCACCTTGTACCATGTGAATAGCTGTTGCCAATCACAGCTGTCATAAATGAAACTTATTCATGTCAGTTCAAAGCATTGCTGATACAAAGATATTCTTTGCATCAGCAAAAGAAAAAAAATAAATAAATAAAAAACCTGATCACCTCCTTCCACAAAGTAGTACAGTGTTACTATGGTGACAGCTACTCTGAAAGTAAAAAAAAATAAAATTATATATATATATATATATATATATATATATATATATATATATATATATATATATATATATATAAAATACACACACACACTTATCTACCTACAGGTGAAACTCGAAAAATTAGAATATCGTGCAAAAGTTCATTTATTTCAGTAATGCAACTTAAAAGGTGAAACTAATATATGAGATAGACTCATTACATGCAAAGCAAGATAGTTCAAGCCGTGATTTGTCATAATTGTGATGATTATGGCTTACAGCTCATGAAAACCTCAAATCCACAATCTCAGAAAATTAGCATATTACATGCAATCAATAAAACAAGGATTGTACATAGAACAATATCGGACCTCTGAAAAGTATAAGCATGCATATGTACTCAGTACTTGGTTTGGGCCCCTTTTGCAGCAATTACTGCCTCAATGCGGCGTGGCATGGAAGCTATCAGCCTGTGGCACTGCTGAGATGTTATGGAAGACCAGGATGCTTCAATAGCGGCCTTCAGCTCTTCTGCATTGTTCGGTCTCATGTCTCATCTTTCTCTTGGCAATGCCCCATAGATTCTCTTTGCTTTTGGCAGTGTGGGCAGGTGCCAAGTCCTGCTGGAAAATGAAGTCAGCATCCCCATAAAGCTCGTCTGCAAAAGGAAGCATGAAGTGCTCCAAAATCTCCTGGTAGACGGCTGTGTTGACCCTGGACTTAATAAAGCACAGTGGACCAACACCAGCAAATGACATGGCTCCCCAAATCAACACAACAACACAGTGTGGGAACTTCACACTGGACTTCAAGCATCTTGCAGTATGTGCCTCTCCATTCTTCCTCCATAATCTGGGTCCTTGGTTTCCAAATGAGATGCAAAAGTTGCTCTTATCAGAAAAGGGGACTTTGGACCACTGAGCAACAGACCAGGTCTGTTTTTCTTTAGCCCAGGTAAGACGCTTCTGACGTTTGTTGTTTGGGAGTGGCTTGACGAGAGGAATACGACATTTAAAGTCCATGTCCAGCATCCGTCTGTGTGTGGTGGCTCTTGATGCACTGACTCCAGCCTCAGTCCACTCCTTGTGAAAGTCCCCCACACTTTTGAATGGCCTTTTCCTGACAATCCTCTCCAGGCTACAGTCATCCCTGCTGCTTGTGCACCTTTTTTTTTCACACTTTTAAGTTGCATTACTGAAATAAATGAACTTTGCACGATATTCTAATTTTTTGAGTGTGTGTGTGAGTGTGAGTGTGTGTGTGTGTGTTTTCCCCCCCCCAAATTAAATAAGGTGGGGGGGAATTTTTTTTATTTTCTTTACATACTGTCACCAGTCTGTGTTCCTGTTCACTGCCACACCAGTCATATGATGACTCTGTACTGCGCTGGCAACAGAATGCAAAAAAAAAAAAAAAAAAAGTGAATAAAAAAATTATTTTGTCACAAAAAATGGTGACAAAATAATTACAACTTCAAAAAAATGTGCAATGTCTCTTACTAAAATAGCTCAGACAGTCTACTTTCAAAAAATGGGCAATTTTGGGGTTATTTCTACTGTCCAGGCATTTTTCATTTCTAGTTGGTGGACGCTATAACTCAAACAAACCAATTAATATACACTTATTGAGATTTTTTTTTTTTTTTTTTTTTTTTTTTTTTTTAAACCAAAGACATGTAGCAGAATACATTTTGGCCTAAATGTATGAAGAAATATGATTTTTATATAAGAAAATATTGCGGTTTTTTTGTTCTTCAAAAATTTCTGACATTTATCTAATAAAAAATAAAAAACCCAGTGGTGATAAAATACCACCAAAAGAAAGCTCTGTGAAAAAAAGTATATAAATTTCACTTGTATGCAGTGCTGCATGACCAAGCAATTGCCAGTTAAAATAGCGCACTGATAAATAGTAAAAAAATGGCCTGGTCATGAATGGGGTAAAATCTTCCGACGTGGTAACAATCAAATATATAATTGGTAAGACCACTCTTACCCAGTCTGTTACTATTCATGGTCAAGCTCTTGAGAACAGCAAACTTTCCCACGAATGGAGGTAAACCTTCTATCTTGTTACTAGACAGGTCGATGGTCCGCAGGTTTGCAGTCAGCCTCTGCAGATCTTCAGGGAACTTTATGAGAAAAATTGAATTAAATAAATAAACGAGAACATGCAGGATAAATTATACCACAGCAAACAAAGAAGTGGAGGCCTAACCACTTCAGCTCTTTGTATGTATTTAGTACATCCAGAGAGGAAAGGGTTAGCAGCAGCAGCCATATACTTGTCCTCTGTTTTTTTTTTTTGGCTGGCTGCAGGCTGTAAAGTAAAAGTGATCTGGGTGGCTGTACAGCTACCTGATCACTTTTATAGTGCAAGCCAGGACAACCTGGCTTTCCCCAGGAGCCTGGGACCACATCGGAAAGGCTTTAAAATGGCGAGCGCAATGAGAATGGGGAACATCTGTTCCTCAATCTCCTGTGCAGTGAATGAATCAGGAAGAGACAAGGATTTAGTCACTGCCGGTTTCAAAGTGGTCATTCCCTGGATGATACAGCCAGGGAAGCAGTTAATCAAGCAAGATCTGTGTTTGGTTAGATCAGGGGTAGGCAACCTGCGGCTCTCTCTCTAGCTGTTGTGGAACTACATTTCCCACGAGGCATTGCAACATTACAAAACTGACAGTTACAGCTATGACTTGCAGAGACCTGATGGAACTTGTAGTCCTGCAACAGCTGGAGAGCCGCAGGTTGCCTACCCCTGGGTTAGATGCTTTAAAGGGTAGGGGAGGCAATGGGGCCTAACAGACTCTCAATGTCTCTATAAACAGTACCTGTCCAATGCCATCACAAGCGGGTTGGTTAACCTCCTTGTCATAACAATAAGGTTAAACTAAAAAAAAAAATGTATATATTAAAATGTGTTAAATTAAATGTAAATCCCTTTGCTCTGTATATACCCACAAATGCAAATGTACGCTCAGGGTGCACGTGTGTATGTAACTTGTGATTGCACCACACATGTGGGGTATTGCAGTGAACATCAGAGAGAGAGAGCAAATAATTCTAACACCGGAGATCACAGAAGTCTAAAGTAATGAGCAGTAGAGGCTTCTAAAGCACTGTTTATGGACATTTTTGGGCACTATAGTTTTTCCCCATTATCATGGGCCCAAATTAAGACTTGACATGCATTTGCTTGACGCAACCTCATCTTTTAGATTTTACTCCAAAAATGGGTATTATATTGTGCATGTTTGTACTAAAATGTATTTTATTGTATTTCTTCCTAAAAATATGCGTTTGATAAACAGTTCTGCAAATATTGTGCAACATAACAAAATGCAACTACAATCATTTTACTCTACGGACAGGGCTGCTGTTAGAGACCACAAGGCCCCATACAGCCAACCTGACAGCCCCCCCCCCCCAGTTTACTATGCTTCAGTTTAGGAATGAACACAGTGAATGATCGGTACTGATCACTCATGTTCATTCATTCAGGAAAGGCCTGGTAAATGTGATATAGTTAGGTCCATCTATATTTGGACACAGGCACAATTTTTTTCAGGCATTTACCAAAACACATTCAAGCTATAGTTATATAATGGATATGGACTGAAAGTGCACACTCTCAGATTTAATTTGAGGGTATGGACATCCAAATTGGAGGAAGGGTTTAGGAATGACAACTCTTAAGAGTAGCCATCCCCCATTTCTCAAGGGACCAAAAGTCTACTGCTCATTTCTGCCAAGGGTGGGTCCTGTTTGAAGCAGAGGCATTCATTGGCTGCCTCTACCTGCGCAGCTACCCAATGGCTCTGCCTCACACAAATAGCATTATGTACCTTTAGCGAGCCGAGAGTGGCAGGAAAACAGCAAGCGGATAGAAGATAATAGGTAAAATGGGGGCAGATGGACCTTAAGTTAGGTTTTGATTTTAGACTCACTTTAACCCCTTCACACCCAAGGGTAAAACAAATCTTAAAGCCTATGTAAAATTTTACAACTTTGACATGTTAGTAAAACCGTACATATCACCACAACTACTTTGTACATCCAGGTGAATTATACCTTGCTTTTTTCTGGACAAATTGGGATTTCATTTGGTGGTAAATGGTAATGGATAGCTCTTAATTTTTTTTTATTATCAAAGGAAAACTGGCCCAAAATAGTCATTTTTTTAATGTAGCTGTGTGTTTCTTGTTACTACCATAACCTACCACCAAACAACAAACCAAAATAAATTTTCCAGCTCGACGATCGCAGCGATACCATATATGTGTATGTTATTTATGGTTTGTACCCGTTTTACAGCCCAGAAACAATAGCGTGCATTTTGTTTTTTGTTACCTAAAACACACTGACACCAATTTTAAAAAACATTTTAAAAAAATAAATAAAAATCCTGACCTTAACCCACACACTAACCCTGGCACTGAACTAGAGCAAACCTTCATTTAGGGGGTTTTTTTTGTTTGTTTTTTAATATTTATTATTATTATTTTCTCTATGCAAAGGAGAGATACAATGTATCCCTCTCTTCCATTCAGAGATAGAAAAAAAAAAAAAAAAAAAAAAAAAAAGAAGGGGGGGGGGGGTCGGGTTTCGCAGTGACTGATCACTGTGATAGCCAATCAGAGGCTATCACAGCAATCATGTGACCTGGAATCGGGGGTCTCAATCGTTAGAACAGGACCCAGGGCTCTCAGTGACACCCCAGTCTTTGTGCTGGGAGTGCGCTGTACAACACGCTCCAAGAACAAAGACAGGAACGCACATATGAGGCGCGCAACGGAAAAAAAAAAGCCCTGTTCTGTGAGGACACATATTTGTGTGATGTCGGAGCCAAGGGGTTGAATAGCGAATGAGTTATGTATACAGTGCGTTAACAAACACAAACCAATCATCAGTTCTCTTTCATTGTAACGATTGCCCTAATAAAACGTGATTGGTTCATATTGTGCTCAATAATATTAAATAGGTCTGAAAAGCTGTGAAATATTCTCTCACCTCAACTAACCCCTTGTCAGTCAGCTGGAATACCCCAGTCTTCTGTGCGGTTTCTAGGTGGGCTTTTAGTGCACTGTTCCCCATACTGCTCCAAGAGACCAAGCTTTACAGCAGTAACAGCTCTCACAGTGTGATTACAGACCTGTAGGTCATAGAGAACTGCAAATGAAAGACAAAAAGGCAATTAAACATAACACATGGAAAAGAGATGCTTCCATCAAAGCCTTCTTATACTGGTATTTTGCTTTGTGACAGATTCACGTAAAGTGGCTGTAAACCTCAGACATGAAATCTGAACATAGCACACACTTTTCTCTGCTGTCTCATTGTCATTTCTGACAAGTTTTCCTGACACCAAGAGCTAAAAAAGGTGACAGGAAGGACCTCAAGCACACAGCCTGTGATTGACAACCTCAGCTCTGTTCCTTGTGTGAAGGGGTGTGTGTCCCTTCCCTCCAATCAGTTCTCAGAACTCTTGTACAGTGTGTAAATGCAGCTTCCCACCACCTGCTTTGTGAGTCTGTGAAAAATCCTTTTCATCTCCAAGTTTTAAAAGGATGTACAGAACAAATGGCTCAGATAAACAGGTACAACTTATGGAGGAAGAGGATTTGCTTCACCTCTGTGTATCATCTGAGGCCACTCACTTTAGTGGGTATAAGGGTTTACAACCACTTTAAAGTAAATGTGTATAAAGAAAACCCAGGACACATCAATTTCTGTGACCTCCTTTTGAAAATGGCAGTTGCCTGGAAGAAGAATGCATCAAAATTCTGATCTGGAAACTGCACCTAGATCATTGACTCGAACTGAATACGTTGGATCAGTATGACAGGCAACAAACATTTTCACAAAGCGTCAGCAATCATGGCCTTCAGATTTCCTTTAAAGGAGCAAAGTGCTGTAAATCACAGAAATAATATATTTAACAGGGTACCTGTCCATCAAGCCTAAATTAAATCTGAACCATCATATATACGAAACAAGTGAACACACCAGCTATTAGCTGACAAATACTTTATTAAAGCTGAGCTTCAAGTAAACAGCTAAATACAGAGCAGAAACCTATCCCATACATGTGATAAAAGCAAGATTCTGACCAAAAGATTTGTAATTTTCTTAGACCAATCTTGTGATCCAGTTATACCAACTAGGCAGCACAGCCAAGTCTCTGACCTCACTTTTTCCACCGCAGGTAAAGCAGTACTGCTTAAAGGATAAGTTCACCTTTTGGACAAAAATAATAAATGCACATTTATTTGCAGGTAAAAAAAAAAAATGTGCATTTATTATTTTTGTCCAAAGGAGCATGTAAAGCATTGTACCAGCGATCAGTAGATCGCTGATGCAATGCAGGTCTCCTGCAGACTGTCAGAATATCTGTTTGCTGTATGGGTTGTACAAGCAAGCAGATATTCTGACCGAAAGCGTCGAACTACTACGGCGCTCCACAGTGCCGTGGTAGTTCACTGAAAACTACAAGCTGACAGCCGCTAAGGCTGTCTGGACTTGTAGGCACTCATTCACAGGACTCTGTGAATGAGTGACGCAGCCGTGTGGGCGGAGTCCTGAATGGCTACGCTGGTTTCAAATCTGACAGATAGTGCGGGGAGAGGGGGTGGCTGGGGCGGCTTCGGCTATGGGAATGTGCTACATGTTCCACTCTAAAAACAGGTGAAACAAGTAACATGTTCCAAAGGTAAACCTTTAATCTAGGACCCACCCAAGCTTTGATTGGGAAATGAAGCAACTGAAGCTCAATGATAAGGCTATTGCCTCCTATTAGAAAGATCCTAGTATGATAAGGGCAGCACAGTGGCTAAATGGTTAGCACTTCAGCTTGGCAGTACTAGGGTCATTGGTTCGAATCCCAGCCACGGCACCACCTGCCTTGAGTTTGCATGTTCTCCCTGTGCCTGCGTGGGAATACTCCGGTTTCCTCCCACACTTCAAAGTCATGCTGGTAGGTAAATTGGCTCCTGTCTAAATTGTCCCTAGTATGTATGAATGTGAGTTAGGGACTGTAGATTGTACACCCTTGAGGGTTAGGGACTGATGTGAATGTACAATATATATGTAGAGCGCTGCGTAAATTGACAGCGCTATGGAAGTGGTGTTAGTCTCGCTAGCTTAGAATACTGACCCGAAAGCCTTCAACTTTATGACACAAGATACTAAAATACTAAACTATTTATTTAAATGTGGGGAAGGGGGGGGAGACAGTAAATGTAAAAAAAAAAAAAAAAAGTCAGCCAAATATATGCATTGATCGGTGTTCATTTGGAGTATCTGAAAGCTTGCTCTGTGCTCTATGACTGACTGAAAGCAGAGTACCTCCTGCATACCTGGACATCTATGCACACCCATGTATTTACTGTACAATCTGACAACTGCACAGAACTGACATGAGGCATTATGGGATTTCTGCTGTACAGTGTCATTATGTGCAGGAAGCACATCTGATTACAAGCTCATGGCTAAGAAGATTTACTACATATGAGAGACAATTAATCCTTGACTGCTGCAGGTTATATTCCATTAAAATAGGTTAAATATTTTAGATGCTCCTGGAAACCCACTAGCATTGTGGACAAAGAAATTGCTTTTATTAATTTATTCATGAAACCGGGGCAAGCAGCCAGAATATCATCATTTAAAGTGATTAGGAGAAATGATAATAAACTGTCCGGCTGTCATGCAGAGGAGCTTGATAACAAAAGATTAGCAAGTACAATGATTATGTGAACTGTACCAATGTCTATAGCAGGGGTCCTCAAACTATAGCCCGGACCACATGCGGCCTGCCGAGGACATTTATCCAGCCCGCCAGGCAGAGGCGTATCTGCCGCGGTTGGGAGAGCTCGGCAGGGAGGCAGGAGGGCGGGATCAGCAATTCTAGAACAGGGGAAGGTGGGCTCAGCTTATGAACCGCACCAATCACCTGGCCTCTCTGCAGCCAGCCAGCCATCTATTCTGATCAGTGCATGCAACTGTCACGGCCGGAGGGCGGAGCCTAGAGCTGACCACGAAGAGGGGGGAGCAAGAGAGGAGACTCCATCGCTGCATGTCGGGTATCACGGCCACAAACCCTAGATAAGTGCAATAGATGATCGATCTCCTCTCTTTCTCCCTCTCCCTCCCCTCTCTCCCCCCCCTCTCTCTCTCCCCCCTCCCCCCTCTCTCTCTCCCCCCCTCCCCTCCCCCCTCTCTCTCTCCCCTCCCCCTCTCTCTCCCCTCCCCCTCTCTCTCTCCCCCCTCCCTCTCCCCTCCCCTCCCTCTCCCCTCCCTCTCCCCCTCCCCTCCCTCCCCCTCCCCTCCCTCTCCCCTCCCCTCCCTCCCTCTCCCCTCCCTCCCTCTCCCCTCCCTCTCTCTCCCCTCCCTCTCTCTCCCCTCCCTCTCTCTCCCCTCCCTCTCTCTCCCCTCCCCTCTCCCTTAAGATTACCCAGTCCAAGAACATATAACCTTCATTATACTGTGTAAAAGAAGGGTGGCTCCTACTCCACTCTGTTTAGATGACTGGATAAGACCCCTGTAGATAATGGATTTGGTGACAGTCTGAGATTTATTTACTAAAGCTGGAGAGTACAAAATCAAAAAATCAGGCTCACTTCTTCTTAGAAACCAGCATAGAATCCAGCCCCCCCAAATACTTACCTGAGCCCGATGTTGATCCATGGACACACATGGCACTACTCAGGATAGAGCCCGCATGAGTGGCCCCATAGCAAGCCGCTTGCTATTTGGTGGCACTCATCCGGAGCTAGGACTGCCGTTGGGAGACCTGAGAAAAGGAGGATCTAGGCTGCTCTGTGCAAAGCCATTGTACAGGGAAGAATAAGGTTTTTTGGATTTCTGGGGCTCCATTAAACTGACCACAGACTATACCATCTGATTTTTAGCGCTGATCACTGTATTGGTGTCACTGGGGATGTCAGTGACACCAAGGCAGTTCCCCCCAGTGTCAGAATGCCCGCTGCAGTCCCGCTATAAGTCGCTGATCACCGCCATTACTAGTAAAAAATGTTTTAAAAAATCCCAGTATAAATACACTGCCATTTGTAAATGCTATAACTTTCATGTAACCGTGGGATTTTTTTTTAGCAAAGACATACATTTTGGCCTACATTTATGACAAAACTTTTATATACTTTTAACTCTCTACTTTCTCCACCTCCACCCAGTACCTCACTCACTACTTACGAGATTGCAAATCATTTCAAAAACAAGATTGATGCAATTCGTAGGGGCATCGCCACTGCACAGACATCCATCCCACTTAGCATACCTTATACTAAACCTCCCTCAACACTTTCCTCTTTTGACCTTGCTACTACTGAAGAGGTCACTAAGGTTTTCTCAGAAGCCCATCTCACTACGTGCCCCCTGGATCCTGTCCCCTCACAACTACTACGGTCACCCTCTTCTTCCATCCTCTGCTCCCTCACATCTTCAATCTTTCCCTCTCTACTGGTGCCTTCCCTTCCCCTCTAAAGCATGTGCACGTCACTCCCATACTTAAAAAAACCCTCCCTGGACCCCACCAACCTGAACAACTTAAGACCCATCTCCCTGCTGCCATTTACCTCTAAACTCTTAGCACGCTTAGTCTACAATCGCCTGAGCTCCCACCTCACCGACAACAACCTCCTTGACCCTTTACAGTCTGGCTTTCGCTCACTCCACTCCACTGAAACTGCCCTACTAAAACGCACTAATGATCTAACAGCTAAAACCAATGGCCACTACTCCATACTCTTACTACTTGACCTCTCTGCGGCTTTTGATACTATTGACCATCCCCTCCTCCTCAAAAAAACTCCACTCTCTTGGCCTCAGAGCCTCTGCTCTCTTCTGGTTCTCCTCCTACCTATCGCAGCACTCCTTCAGCATTACCTATAACGCTGCCTCCTCCTCTTCACTCCCTCTTTCTGTAGGGGGTCCCTCAAGGTTCTGTCCTTGGACCCCTACTCTTCTCCATCTACACCTCCTCCCTTGGTCACTTGATAAACTCCCATCTCTATGCTGATGACACACAAATCTATCTACTCCTCACCTCATCCTTTTATGCAGGCCATAGACGGGTT